ACAGCAAAAGGTGGCAGATAATCTCCGTAAATTGTTACAAAAGCGAGCGAGTCAATTGGTAAGACGGATAGCGCATACATTCCGGTGGTTGGGAAGGGTGAGGTTAATATTGTTGGTGCTGTGCAGGCGGGCGAATGTATTTCTTTCATGGACGTGAGCGCTCCGAAACCTCAAATTGTCCGCGTGTTGGACTTCCGTGGAGACATCGCCGACTTTGAAGCTCTCTTCCGACTAAACGAAGCTGCGTATCGAGAAATGGACGCGATTTTCGCTGATAATGGTCTGTCCAACATGGTCATGTCTCCTAGTGACGTTCATATTCGTGAAGGTGTCGGTAGCAAATACCTTGAGCTGTTCGCAAACAAGTTATTGCCTTTTAGCCAGAGTGATGCGAGAGAGGCAGCGTGGGACCATTTTAAAGGCACCAAGAAGCATGCTAGCAATGGAAGCATATACGAAAAATCGGCAAAGGTAAGACACTGCGATAGTCCACCCGAGACTTTATTAAGTATAGTAGTTGACCGTTTGATCTGTGCCCATAGAACCTAAATGAGCCGTACACGATCATCGAGGAGTTCACAAAGGAGCTCTATTCCAATAGTTCTCGCGCTGACATCAAGGTGAAGCAAGTAGTGCGGCGATATGTCGAGACAGATAGAGATGTTGTGATCTGGATTTCACATGTATCACCGACGGAGATCAAACACAAGATGCTACGTGGACTTACGTACCATCTTCGCGGTTACGCCCTCACCAAGCGCTCGTCAGCTTCAACTTTAGACCGCGAACTCTCACAACTGCAGTTCTGCTCACTGATCTCTCTCGACCAAGTACCCGGCACGTGGTATGACCCTGCTAACGCGCGAATGCTCATCAATTTCTTGATCGGCAACACCGTACAGAATATTCGGAATCACCAGGACCGTATCGAGAGTGCGTTGGTAGACCGAGCACTCAAAGAGCACATGCAATAGACATGCTTTAACATGCAGTAAAAAAATATAGGCGTTCACCAAAGTGGCATTGAGAGTCGCTTTATCAACCACACGCTTAGCCAGCCAGCACTATGGAAACTAATGCACCATACTATGCGCATCTACGCGTTTTCATTGGCCCCTCACAAAGCAACGATTACTTAACCCTTTCACGTTAATTAAGGACTGAAAATGGCGTTCCTCTTGGAGGAAGAGGATAATAGAGAGGTTCTAGAGGCGGCACTGTCGTTCGTGGACGAATTTGGAGAAGCGAGACGACCTCTTTCTCCGCAGGACCCCCGCGAACGCAATAGCACGTTAGCATCACCCGCTTTTCGGGACAATAAAGCATCCAGACAGGCAACGAAAAACGAGAGGAGACGGCAACTGCGTCATGCTGGTGTCTATGGGAACCCGAATCGGGCTAGAAACGAGCGCAGACGAGAAATTGCGGGCCTTCGCAAGCAACTCGAGAAGCTCCAATTGGATCTTCAGACTCTGCAGACCCGGCGAGGTGAAATTGAAGCAAGACAACCAACAGAAGAGTCGACGGACTCTGCCCCACAGTTACCGAGTATGTGGCAACAGGTTGCTACTCAGCAACGACGTCAACGCAGTGAAGCCGAGGGCGAGAACGTACGCTTAAAGCTAGCTGTGCAGCGCCAGCAAAAGATGGCAGATGATCTAAAGAGCTTGCTACAGAGGAAAGCTCGACAACTGGTACGTGTCCTGGACGTTACGCAGCGCATTGATCTAATGAGTTTTTGTGGTTTTGTAGTCGAATGAGTGCGCATCGTTGATCGCCAACACCAGCCGTAACAGCATCGTTAATATCGTAGAAGTTCGGGTAGATCTCGGAGATTTCCAGCAACTCTTTCGACATCTGGAAGCTGCTCGACAAGAAGTTGACGCGGTGTTCGCTGCCAACGGTCTGGCAAATATGGTAGCTACCCCCAGCGACATCCATATCCGAGAAGGTGACGACGGGAAATACCTTGAAGCCTTCTCGAACAAACTATTGGCTTTCAGGCTGCAAGCAGTGACCGAAGCGCTGTGGAGTCACTTCAAGAGCCTCGAGAAACATGCAGGCAATGGCAGTCTCTACCAAAAAGCGGAAAAGGTACGAACTGTTCGTATGGCACACGCATCGTAGCTGTGGTAGCTCTAACTGTTGTGGTGGATCAGTATATCGACGAGTCCAATACTATCTTGGAAGACTTTACGATGGAGATGCATTCCAACACGTCTCGAGCGGACATTAAAGTGAAGCAAGTTATTCGACGATACGTAGAAGCCGACCGCGACATCATCATTTGGGTCTCTCGTGTATCACCCGTTGAGATCAAGCATCGGATGCTGCGAGGCTTGACGTATCATCTGCGAGGACACGCGATCGCAAAGCGATCATCTGCTTCTACACCGAGGAATGAACTATCGCAACT